GCCTATACTGTGGGCAAGCTGTTCTGGGAAAGATTCACACTTCACTCCACCAAGTCTATGTCTCACAAAGGCCCAAATCATTCTGCGTGGTCTATGAACTTATCCATGCAAATGCCAATTTTTAACCAGCCAGGAATTTCTGCACCAATTTTGCTTTAATGCTTTAATGCCCACACAGACTGACCCAATAATGATGACGCCTGATGCCTACAATTGTCTTCCTCGCTCTCACAACCATTTCCTACTTGGGCCTCCAAGTCTCTAAGCCAGCAGGAAGGCCTTTCAATTCCCAAATCTTCAGAAGATCAGTATTCATTGCAAAGTTTACATCAGAATATGGTGGACAAGGCTTCAGGCCAGCCTGCTCCCTAGCTCTCTCCCCAGAGATGGAGCAGAGAAATATAACTCCCAAGGGTGGCCCTCATCTGACGATGGCAGCAAGATGCAAACGGGCACTGGGCCAGCCACAGAACCTAGGGTCTGGAGTGAATGGGCATGCATCCTGATGTACAGTTAGAGTAACGAAACAGTGTATTTGCATAGAGTGGGTTATGGAGGGTAAGCAATTTTTAACTAAGAGATGTGAATCAGAAGTCTGTGCTACCCTCAGCAGGCCCATAACAGAAAGCAAAGTCTAGTTTACCTGGTTACACAGAATGAACCCACCTGTGGGTTCAAGTAAAATTCCCTTGCTTTTATTTATTCAGGGCTAGAACGAAGTGACTTAAACCTTATAAGCAGGAGCCTAAGGTCCTTTTTCAAACTGGAGTGTGGAATAGGACACAAAAGCTCACACTGAAAGGGCCCAACCCCAAATGGAACAGTCGACTCCAGGGCCGAAGTCCCAAGTCAGGGAAACCTCCCTGTCCTCAGATGCCAAGGATTTCTTGGTTTGATTGTACATGCTCAGAGCAGAGGACTTGTTTCAGCCCAAGGAGGAAGTTTGGATGAAGCTTTGCTGTGTTACGGTGCTTCCTACTAGGCTTAAGGTAATGAGGCAGTGCTTCCAGGCATGGGATTCATATTTTGGTTTAGGGCTCTTCCAAGTCAGGTACAACCAGGCTGGGTGGTGGCCTCAGCATTTAGAGGAGCCGACCTGCATCATAGCTGGAGGGAGAAAGAGGAGGGATGGAAGGAAGGCGGTGCCAGCTGACCAAGAGCACTGACCTAGTTAGTATGACTGGTCTTCCTACAGTGACCTTAATAGGTTAACTTCTTTTTTTGTTTTGAACTAAAGAAATATTAACATCTGTATTTCTACTAACATCTGTATTTCTGCCACCCAGAACTGACCATTAACATTTAGCCAGATGTCTTTTTAGACTTTTAAAAAAACAATTACAATTTTATAGTTTATTTTTCTCCATCCCCAGGTCTCTTCACCTCTTCCACACCCCATCAAAAACATTGACACCAACCAATATCACACACTTTTTATCCTTCTAGTTCATTTAAGTGTGTCCATAGCTATACCGAGCCCTGTAATATTGCTGTTCTCTAAAATACCCTAAATAGTATACTGTACAAATATCATCACACTTGGTTTTTCATTCAGCACATTTAACATCTATCTAGTTGATATACAGATCCAATAAATTCATGTGAACTACTACACCAGCCCACTGCACAGCTAGATGCTTTATTTATGTATTCCCTTACTGGTTCGCCATTTCCACCCCCACCCCCGCCCACCTCCATTATGCCAATTTTCCTCAGCTTTCAATACTGCAACTTTCCTAGTATATGTCTCATTGTGCAGGTGTGAGCTTCTATATACCTAGAAATAAAATTCCTGGGCCACAGGGTATGCTTATTTTCTACTTTACTAAATATTGCTGAATTGCTCTCCAAAGTGGTTATATCCATTTACAATAAGCAGTATGTCAGCTCTTGCCTTACCACCCCTTCGCCAACATTTGATACCATCTGATGGGTAACTTTTGTGAGTCTGCTTTCTAAAATAATAACAAAAGAGGGATATTAGATATCAAGTCTTTACCTCCCTACATTTTACCTAGATCAAAACTCCAGGGCTTCTCCAAAATGTGCACGGTTTTGTCTCATACCAAACCAACTCAGCTGACTCACACCTGAGACAGGAGAGACACCTGCTGTCTAAAGTGAAAGAAATATTATCTCTCTATAGGTTGATTAAAGATGTTTAGAAGGGATGGGGCTACTTTCAGAAAAATTTTTGGACTGTATCAGCTAACCTGCCTCATACACAGAAATGCTATGACCAGCAACCTCCCTGCCTTATCACAGTGGGGTCCTGGCATCTCCCCAGCACAGCCCCTGCCTGACTTCCAAACACAGCTTGCTGACATCAGGAAAGAGGCTTAAAGCGCCAGAGGAGCTTTGCCTGTGGTCAGAAGCGGGGGAGGTTCGTCTCAGAGGCCACCAGAGGTACTGCAGTCTCGCTCTCCTACGTGCAGACTGGCACGAACCACTGCAGGGGAGGAGCAGCACTGCTCAGTGGCCCCGCCCAGGCTGCACTACACCACCTACCGCCCCCTTTGGCTCACCTTTCCCCAAAAAGCTTCTTTGACAAAGTACTGAAGAAGCAGACTATTCATTTATTTAGTCTAAGGCTGCCTCTCAGAGAATGGATGGTGGCATTAAGAATGGTCTTCATTTAACTCTATCCCAATCTGTACCAGAATGTGATGCTTAAAGTGATGGCTCAAGGTACTATAAGACCTTTTACCAAATAAATCACTTATACATCTCATAAGATTGCAAGAAAACTCTGCTCACATTCTGTGGTGTGCCAGTTAACTGAGATTTCATCTTGTGGATCCTCAAAATGATTCAGAAATAACAATAATGTCAAATGAGTCACTTTCCCCACCTTGATCTCAGCCTTAGCTCTGGGTCAGAATAACACCTCCTGGCATGTCTTCATAAAAGCTGAAGCAAAATAGATTAAAACTCATGTAGTATGAGTTTTTAATGTAAGAGTGGCATTTTTTCTACCTTCCCACTCACAATCATTTCCTCATTTCTTCCATTGCCTCATCATTAAGAAATAAACAGCTTTAAAAAATGAAATGGTTTTTCCTATGACTCCACATTGATGTCCCAACATTCAAGGCACAGAAATAACTCCCATAGGTGCTAGCTGTTTGGAGTCACAGCTACCAAATCTGCCAAATCACTGAGGGTACATTTCTTAAAGACCTACTAATGCTCTTGGTTAAACTGTAAATTCAACACTAAATTTACTTCTAATGCAGTGATTAAAATGAGAGCAGCTGTAGTAGACAGGAAGATTCTAATGTCCATATCTTCTGGCTCAAATCCAGTAATTCAGAAATGAGTTCAAGGACATTCTTTCAGGCCTTCTTCATATCTACTACAGCCCTTATCTCAAGAGGTGGCCACACCCACCACAGAAGGCTCTGGAATGCAGGTGCACAGACTGGGTATAGGTCTCTGCTGCACTGCACTTCTGCTCTTAGAGGGCAGTGCTGAGCCTGGGGACCTGGACCAACCACTTTTCACTTAGCTGAGATATTTTTAACTAGGGGAAATGCATGTTTCATTGTTTGACTCACTGAAAGGGGAGAGGGGACTTTTTAAACCTGCAAAGATCATAACATAGTTTCCCACTCACCCAACGAAGAGAATTCTCTCAAAAGCAGTTAAGTTGAAAGGTTGAGTCATCTTCCCCACAGAGCCTCCCCACCCCCACCCCCAAAGATGCTGATAGTAACATACCCAGCCCTTCTGAACAGCCCCACTGTATTCCCAGCAGCATCCTTGAATAACCAGAGGACAAATTATTTGCTAACAATGCTACAGAGTGGGAGTCCTGACCTAGGCCCTCCTATTACCCTAGGGAGTGGCCCCACCTCCAGTACAGCCAGGAGGGGGCTACTGCCATCCTTATCTCACACTTACCAGCTGGCTGAGCAAATCCTAGAATCTAGGCAAGTTGGGAGTAAAAGGTAAAGATTTCAGTCTTGGGGTTGCAAGTTTGTTTCTTTTCTTATAGCCAAACACTAAAGACTGAAATCCCCCACCCCCTTGCCTTTTTGTCAAGAGGTCCTTATTCTCAGGGGACCGAAAAACCCATTGCAAATGGAGAGTTTCAAAGTAACGCTATTAGCTACTTTGTAAACACTGTACCAGGATCCCTGAGGAGATATCTGGCATTTAGAGACTCCCAAGGATAACTATGAACTGTGTATGGGGATGGCATAAAGAGCCTTCGTGCCCCATTATGTATTAATTTGTTCAGTGACTAAAAGTATACATTTGGAGGCATTTCTGAGATCTCACCATAGATTAAACACTGCACTGACTATTCAACGTGGTGTGTGTGTGTGTGTGTGTCTAAAAACCAGTCTTTCCAACAATCAGGAGAAAAACATTACTCCAGGTTCCTACAGGGAAAACTGAGGTCCTGAGGCCGAATTCCTTTCATTATTCTTATCAGTATGTTAATGAGTCAAACCTAATCTTAAAAGCCTGCTGACAACTTCCCAATGCCTCTACCCATCAGGCTCTCTGGTACTGGAGAGGAGCAATATCCTGTTTTGAAGACATGCATTAGAAGTTTTTCCATGACCTTGCCTTTAAATAACCTTCAGACCATAAGGTGCTTTCCTACTTATTCAAACTCAGCGTGATGCCAGCTCGTGAGGCCTCCTGGCACCCGCCACCCGCTTCCCCGAGCAGGAAGGGCGTACCTCCCTCACCACACAACCAGTGTGAGTTCTCTAGTAAGAATGTGAACACTGTGGACTATGGCCGGTCTAGTCATCCCGGTCTCCATCCCTTTCCCCCAAACAACTCCTAGCAGTTTTTATTGAGTGAACGCGGTCCGTGGTGCCCCAGCCCACGACTACTCCATCCCACCCCGGGGCCTCAGAATTCGGGAGCATCTGTTAATTAAGCAACGGGAAGCAGAGGCGTGGCCTCCGCGCCGCCTGCGCGGCAGATCGCGTTGCAGGTGAGGCCGGGCGGAAACCCGCCGCAGGCCGGTCGCAGGCCAGTCGCAGGCCAGTCGCAGGCCAGTCGCGCCGCGGGGCGGGTCCCCAACGCCGGCCGCTACGTGCAGCCCCACCGCGGCTGGATGGAGCCCGGCGACGCTCTCGCGGGCGGTCGCAGCGCCGCGGCCACCCCCATCGAATCCGGGGCGTCCCAGGAGCATCCACCCTTTCCTCCCCGGAGGCGGGGAAGGTCACGGGTTACATAACCCGGGCCACCGCTGCATCGCGGCTGCACCCGGCCAAACCTGCCCACCGGGGGCCACGCGCCCGGGGATCCAGGAGAGACGGATGCGTGATGGAGAAGGGGCTGGACAGAGCTGGGCGATGGGCGATGGGGGCGGGGAGTAGACGGACGTGACCAGAACGGAGTGGGAGGGGCGAGGACCGCCCGGCGCGGAGGACAAGGATGCGGAGGAGCAGACGTGACCGGAATGGAGGGGAGGGGCGAGAAGCGGAGCATGAATGGGGCAGGGGTGGGTGTGCAGAGGGCACGAGGACGTGAGTGGGGAGGAACGGGTGGGAGGGGGAGCTAGAGGACTTTCATGGAGAGGTTACAAGGAAAGCATCAGAATGAGGGGGTAACGGGCAGGTTGAAGATGAGGAGGCGAAAGGCATCGTATTAAGGGGGAAGGGGAGGAGGCGAGCAAGGGAGCGGGAAGGGGAGAAAGGGAGAGGGGAGCAGATTAGGAGGGAAAGTGGGTAGCGAGGATGGGGCCAGATTGAGAGTAGGGATTGAGGCAGGAAAGGGGCTGGCTGACGCATCTGACTTTGGAAGAAACGGGAGCTGGGGGCTTTGAAGAACAGGCCCTGGGTGCGAGCAGCTTCTCTCCCCCAGCCCCACCAGGTCCAAGATGCCCAGGATCCAACACCGCCGTGGAATGGGTGCCAGGAATCCGCACGAGCCGGGCCGACGGGGTCCAGGTGGGCATGCATGGCGCTACCTCGGCCCCCGCTCACCTCTGGCGTGGTCCGGCTGGGGCTGCAGCTGGGAGGTCTCGAGTCTCCGGAGGCGTCACTCCTGTGCGGACTCGGCTGTCTCTGCCTCAAGGTTATCCCGACAGTAGGGCCGCCGCAATCCCTCCGCCGCCCCGCCCCCGACCCAATCCTGGCTTCCCGCTCGCCCGGCCCGCCCTTCTGCGTGCTCACGGGGAGCAGTCATTCAGAAGGAAGTGCCGCGAGGCCGGAACGGGCCTGCAGGTTGCCCTTTTGGGGAGGACTATATTCTGTGGCGGAAGGACACTGTACATTGACTCACGGTGACGCTCGGTGGAGGCCAATGAGGAAGCGAAGAGGCGGCAGGATCCGCCCTCGGAGCCCCGCAGACCTCCTCCTCCCCCCCAGACCCTCGGGCGCCTTGGCCACCTGTTGCGGCCAATTAGCACGTTGAGGAGGGCTCCTCTCCTGACCCTCCGTCCAGGCCACCCTGATGCCCTGGCCTATTGGGGCGGTACCCAGATATAGGGGTCCCCGGCAGCATTCCCTCAGCGCCGCCCCACCCCTCCAGATGCCCATCCTAACGCACACCTCGGAGACTGAGCTGAAAAGGAGGTTGGGGAGCCTGAGATGGGATCAGAAGGTGGGGAGAGATGGAGATCGTGGGCTGGTTGGAGGTTGGGCCCTCCTTTGGGGCGCTCGGACTCGGGAGTGGGGGAAGGGAGAACTGGGGAGGGCGCAATGTACTTGGAGCGCGAGCGCAAGGCCCTTCTGTTCTTAGGGTCAGGAAGCACAAATTGGGGCCATGTGAATACAGTACTTTAGTAGGGCTGAAATCCCTGAGAGTAGAAATCCTATAGAAGGTATTAATATTAGTGCAGAACTGACCATCAGGAAATACTAAGTCAGAATATGAGAGTCAATGATCTTTGCTGGAGTCAGCACTTCTGTTTTCAACCTTGTATATTTATATCAATATTGTTGTTTTTCTTACATTTTCTCCAAGGCATTTTCCAGTTTCTCAGTAATTGGCTATCAACCAGTGATAACAGAAGTTGTATCAGGAAACAAATGTAAACCCTTGCCTTTATTCAGCGAAGTTTTGAGAGCAGATACAATGTTGCTTCATTAAAAATCGTTAAGACTCTTCTTTTAGGTTCTTTGCTTTTCCTGGAAAATTAGACCAATGGATGTGACCTGCTCAGGCAGACACTGCTTGCAGCTGAATCACAGGCCTTCATTCTGCTTTCCTTTAGCTCAGATAAGCTGGGAGGAAAAAGTGAGCCCAAAAGTAAATTTCTGTTTGAGATAAAATCTTTTAATTTCTTCTGTGAGCCTATTTGGGTCCTTAGTTGAAGACAGGACGTAAATGCTTGTTTATTGAAGTGGTGAGAGCACATGAAGTTGTTGAAAGAAAAAAAGGCCATGCCCTACCAGGAGAATCCTATTCTTCCCTATTCAGAGAGAGAGGAATGGCGTAAGTGGCCCTCTTTGGCTCCTTAGATAAGTACAGTGGTGGACAACTCTGGAGGTATGGGGGATAGTGATCTGGTCAATGTTGTACTATGTTGCATTTTAAAGTTCTAAATCTAGATATACGATGGAACCTTGGTTCTTGAACATAACTTGTTCTGGAAGGCTGTTCAAGAAGTGATTTGTTTGAAAACCAAATCATTTTTTTCCCATCAGAAATAATGCAAGTTGAATTAATCCTTTCCAGACCCACAAATGATTCCGTTTTAACCTTTCTTATATACTGTTTAATCTATAAATAAACACTTCTTTTCTTAAATTTATCAAACCTCCCCCTACTAGCCTTAAACAAAGTTCTTTCAGCACACATTCCAGGGGTGTCTTTCAGCATGCAACATCTTTGCTTGCTCATATATCACTGCCTCCGAAATGCTGTCAGTCTGCTTTTGGATAAAAATGTTTTTCCAGCCCTAGCTGGTTTGGCTCAGTGGATAGAGCGTTGGACTGGGAACTGAAGGACCCCAGGTTCGATTTGGGTCAGGGGTGCATGCCCGAGTGGGGGGCTCAATCCCCAGTTGGGGGCCTGGAGGAGGCAGCCAATCAATGATTCTCTCTCATCATTGATATTTCTCTCTCTCCCTCTCCCTCTCTGAAATCAATAAAAATATATTTTTTAAATGTTTTTCCAAATCTATAAGTTTTTCTAACTCTTCAATTGTATATGGTCATTGTTTCTTTCACACCCTTAGCAACATTAGCACTCTTGATGGCCTCCTTACATTTTAAAATTGTGCTAGCAACAAAATTTCGCCAGCAACAAAAGCATTCTCTCCTTGTTGCCAGACAGATGCTGTCATGCTGAGGTATCAGCAAGAAAAGGTTGTCAGGTCGAAAACCAAAACCGAAGTTTGGTTCAACAACCGAGACATTTTTTCTGTGAACAACTTGGTCGAGATAAAAGATGTTTGAGAACTGAGGTTTGACTGTATTTCCAAGATTGAAATGCACATTTATTAAACTAGAGAGTTGATTGCAAACTGTTGGTTACAGATGTTGATTATCCAATAGTTATAAAAATGCTGTCCATGAAACTCTGGCAGAGACAAATGCAGCATATCCTTGCTCACATTAGATGCATAGTGAAAATTTGTCACATCGAGTTTAAGTTGTCATTTTGCTGAAAAGTCGCATAGTATAGAAGAAAGCTTGTGTTTCATCATTATATCTTAGTTACAATTCCATTCACTAGCCCTGTGACTATTCCTGGAATTTAATGTGTAAGAGTCCAGTTCCTTAAAAGTAAATTGAACAATGGACAGAGACAGTAGGGGATGAGGACATGTGCTGGGGGTTGGGAGTGGCCAGGGAGAGGTCAATGGGCGGAAAAGGAGACTCATGTAATACTTTAAACCAGCGGTTGCTGACCTTTTGGACCTCACAAACCACCAGTGGTCTGCAGACCACCAGTTGGTGACCACTGCTTTAAACAATAAAGAATTTAAATTAAAAAAAAGGAAAGAAAAATTTTTTAAAAAGTAAACTGAAGACAATTCCTGCTTCATAGGATGGGGTTTGATCAGATGATGTCAGCACAAGGCCCAATAGGCATCCTCTTTCTTTGGGAATTGACTTGTTCGGGAGGGTTGTTCTTGTGACTAGTGCCAGGACATCTTTCTGAATCTAATAACTCAGTTTGCTTTTCTATTGGCCATCCTCCTGAATCTTCACTTCTATCAACCCAGCAACAAGTAATCCCAGGACTACAGGAAACTGGAAAGCTGAGGAAGAACAGACTCTCCTGGAGGCCAGGCCCCTCTCCCTAGAGCCAGTCCTTCCACTGTGCTCCCTGACCTAGCAGGATGGGAGGGGTAGCCGCTAGATTCACTGGTCTGGGGTGTGAATGAGATATAGATTGCTGTTACCTGTTTGGATTCTAGGCCACAGAACCACATAATCTGGAGTTTAATGGCTTAACTCTCAAAGGCCATTTGGAGTTACTGGTAGGGTAGGTATGTCAGCAAACGATACTAGATCCAACCTTGGAGCCCAAAGATGAGCTTTGGCCCTAGTTATAGGCTTTACCATTATGTGACCTGTTGGCCTCTACCTGAAACAGCAATATTATTTCTCTCTCAGGACAATACAGATTTCCAGAGCAGCCTATAGGCCCTGAATGTCAGGTTTAAAGCAGAAGTATTTTAACTTTGGACTTTATATGCCCTTTCCAGAGCCAGACCAAGTAGACATTTACATTTATTCAATGTCTTCCTTTAGACTCCCAAGATCTCTTCAGGCCCACCAGGGTAGCACAAAATCTTAATTCCAGAGTTCCCTCCAGAAAATCCTAGATGGAAGAGAAAATTGGCCTTTTGGAGTTAAGGATAAAGGGAAAACAGGTTGTCTGGGAAAGAGGTTTCATGGAGGAAGAGATGGAGGGTTGGTCAGGACAGAGATGGGTATAGGAAGGCCATTCCAGGGGAAAGAAACAGTAAAGAACGTGTTCTGAATGCAACCATATATCTGGTGCCCCCTTGAAGAAATGCCCCATCAGCACTTAGAAGCAAGAGGGAAGAAGCAGAAATACTGCTTCAGCCAACATGACCCTGTCAGCTGAAGTAACCACCAGCAATCTTTTTCTAGTCCAGGACTGCTAGGGCTCACAGGACAAGCCTCCTTAGGGCAGGTTAACCTGTCCACCAAACCACTCCCTTGGAGGCCCTTTTCCCTACAAGTGTAGCCAGAACTCAGGCTCCCTAAGATGCGAATGTAAGCAGATCCCATCTCCCAAAAGTAATCAAGATTTGGAGGACTGACCAAGAAAGGTATCAGTGAACAATGGATCAAGTGTCCCCTTCCCCAGGAAGTCCTGTTGCAAATCAACCAGTCTGCCTTTTCCTTGGCACCTTGCTTCTGTTAGGGGCAAAGATAGAATACTGGGAACTAGCTATAGTTATGGGAAATATTAATCATGCTCTGTTAACCATGATTGCCTTGTGTTGGTTAAAGAAGGGACATTCTGGAGGACAACCAAGATGGCGGCATAGGTAAACACCTGAACTTGCTGCCGCGTACAACCACATTAAAACTACAACTAAAAGACAAAATGAATAGCATCCAGAACCATGGGAAGGCTGGCTGAGTGGAAATTCTACCACTAGAAGGAAAGAGAAAAGCACATTGAGTCCGGTAGGAGGTGCAGAGGTGTGGAACTGTGGAGGTACAGAGGTGTGCACGAAAGGGGCTGGCAGCTGGGTACGCTGTTGTCTATTTCAACTGAGAGGGAGATACAAGCTCCCAACTGCTCTGAAATCCAGTTCTGGGTGAGAATCTGGGGACCCAGACACATACAGAGAGAAACTGTACTGTCTTGCATCGGGCCTGAATGTGAGGGCGGCTTTCTCGCAGAGGTGCTTGCAGCGTTCATTGTTCCTGCATGGGGCTGAGGGACATAGAGACCCAGGGACCTATTGGGGGAGGGCCAATGGCAACAATTGCTGTTTGTACCGCCTGTGACTCCCTGAGACCACGCCCCACCCAATTTACAACCCCACCCAAGCTGTGGGCAGAGGCTTTTGCATACTAATGGCCTGGCCTTTCTCCGCCTAAAAACCTGTCAAACTGCAGCTGGGTCAGAGAAACCCAGAGCTTCCAAAAGGCCTAAGGCTCATCAGCAGCCTGCATTACTTCACAGCTGTGCCTCATCTGGGCACCTCCAAACCCCAAACAAAGAGGAGGAATCTGCAGATCTCTCTGTAGCTCCTGCTGGGTAGCCTCAGGCAGTGGGTGACTTTGCACCCCCTAGGACAGTGATGGTGAACCTTTTGAGCTCGGCGTGTCAGCATTTTGAAAAACCCTAACTTAACTCTGGTGCCGTGTCACATATAGAAATTTTTTGATATTTGCAACCATAGTAAAACAAAGACTTATATTTTTGATATTTATTTTATATATTTAAATGCCATTTAACAAAGAAAAATCAACCAAAAAAATGAGTTCGTGTGTCACCTCTGACACGTGTGACATAGGTTTGCCATCACTGCGCTAGGAGATCCAAGAGCCAGTCTACCCAGTGGTCAGAGTGAGACCATCCAGATTACAACTCTTCACATCCATAAGAGACACACTCAGGGGGCAGACTCAGTGAGCGCCAAAGCCCCACTGAAGCAAGTCCTGCCCCATAAGGGTGTCTCCAGCACAGAAGTTCTCCCATTGCAGACACAACTGGTCCTCGCAGCCAATTGACCTGGAGGTCAATTTCTATCAGTGATACCAACAACAATCAAGGCTTAACAACAAGACTGTGCACACAGCCCACAAAGGGGTGCACCAAGAGTGTCCACCTCAGGTAATTAGGGAGGCTGAGCCACTGGGCCCTATAGGACATCTAGCACACAAAGCCACTCTATCAACACAGGGAAGCAGCCAAAATTCAGAGACAAAGAAACAGGTCACAAATGAAAGAAATGGAGGAAAGCAAACTACTGGATATAGAGTTCAAAACCATGGTTATAAGGTGACTCAAGAATCTCCTAGAAACCTCTGAGAAATATAGTGAGACTCTCAAGGATATGAAAAAGGACCAATTAGAAATTAAGCATACACTGACTGAAATAAAGAATAATATACAGAGATTCAACAGCAGACTAGAGGATCCCAAGAATCAAGTCAAAGATTTGAAATACGAAGAAGCAAAAAACACCCAACTGGAAAAAAAGAATCCAAAAATATGAAGATAGTGCAAGGAGCCTCTAGGACAACTTCAAGCGTACCAACATCCGAATTATAGGGGTGCCAGAAGAAGAGAGAGAGCAAGATATTGAAAACCTATTTGAAGAAATAATGACAGAAAACTTCCCCTACCTAGTGAAAGAAATAGACTTACAAGTCCAAGAAACACAGAGAACCCCAAACAAAAGGAATCCAAAGAGGACCACACCAAGACACATCATAATTAAAATGCCAAGGGCAAAAAACAAAGAAATATTAAAAGCAGCAAGAGAAAAACAGTTAGTTACCTACAAGGGAGTACCCATACAACTGTCAGCTTATTTCTCAACAGAAACTATGCAGGCCAGAAGGGAGTGGCAAGAAATATTCAAAGTGATGAATAGCAAGAACCTACAACCAAGATTACTGTACCCAGCAAAGCTATAATTTAGAATTGAAGGTCAGATAAAGAGCTTCACAGATAAGAACAAGCTAAAGGAGTTCATCACCGCCAAACCAGTATTATATGAAATGCTGAAAGGTATTCTTTAAGAAGAGGAGGAAGAAGAAAAAGGTAAAGATAAAAATTATGAACAACAAAGTGACAACAAACACA